CCACAAGGATAAATTAGACAGGGATTCTGTCCCTCAAAAGCTTCCATTAATGCAGAAAACTAAACAGCTATAATTCAAGCAGAAAATGAGAAAAGCAAAAACTAAGAAGCAACAGGAATCTGGAGGAGGCATTTCTGCCACATAGAGGAACTAGGGGAGGCTTGGGGAGCAAGATTTGAGCTGGTCTGAAGGGAAAATTCCTCTAAACTGTGTAATTTTGTAACACACATTGTTATGAAAGGGCCCTTGGGAGTACTTGCTTTGCTTCTTGGCCTTGTCCCCTTTCTCTTTCATGCTGACAAGCAGGCCACTCTTCAGAACTCCACATCTCATGGATAAATGAGGCTCAACAGTGTTATATTTAGTTTATTACTAAAATATTATGAATATTGTATTCTTAGCCCTTGAGATAGCCAGAAAAGTCTTTATTATAGAAACTGGTTCTTGAGAACACAGTATTTTTCAAGAATTATCAATAGAGTCCCATCTTGCAAGATGGCAGATGAAAAAAACTGAGAAACCAGACACTAAAGAGCAGAAAGCTGAAACCAAGAATGCTTCTGCCAGTGGTACTGGTAAAAAGGGTAAGGTGAAGGCAAAGAAGTCCAAGAAGGGGCAGCCCCACTGCAGTAGAAATCCTGTTCTGGTTAGAGGAATTGGTAGATACTCCTGATCTGCTATGTATTCCAGGAAGGCTTTGCACAAGAGAAAGTACACAGCTGCTAAATCAAAGGTTGAGAAAAACAAAAAGGAGAAAGTTCTTGCTATAATCACAAAACCAGCCAGTGGGGACAAGAATAGAGGTACCCGGGTGGTTAAGCTTCGAAAAATGCCTAGGTACTACCCTACTGAAGATGTGCCCCAAAAACTCTTGAGCCATGGCTAGAAACCCTTCAGTCAGCATGTGAGGAAACTTTGAGCTAGCATCACTCCTGGCACCATCTTGATCATCCTTACTGGGTGTCACAGAGGCAAGAGAGTGGTCTTCCTGAAGCTGTTGGCCAGTGGCTTGCTACTTGTGACTGGGTCTCTTAGCCTTAATCATGTTTCTCTAAGAAGACACACCAGAAATCTGCCATTGCCACCTCTACAAAAATTGATATCAGCAAAGTGAAAATACCCAAACACCTCACTGATGCTTACTTCAAGAAAAAGCTGCGGAAACCCAGACACCAGGAGAGTGAGATCTTCAACACGGACAAAGAGCGATACCAGATTTCAGAGCAGCACAAGGTGGATCAGAAAGCGGTGGACTCAGAGATTTTAGCAAAAATCAAAGCTGTTCCTCAGCTCTGGGGCTACCTGCAACCCATTTTTGCTCTGACAAGTGGAATTTATCCTCATAAATTAGTGTTCTAAATTTCTTTTCTTTTTATTTTTGCCGAATTGGGGATTGAACTCAGGCCCTTGTGCTTGCTAGGGAAGGGCTTATTCTATAGAGCCATCTCTCTGCCCCCCCTAAATTTCTTACTGAGAACCTAATTAAATAACTGATACATTTTAAAAAAAAAAAGAATTATCAATAGCAACCCAACTTGCAGAATGAATCAGACCCAATGAGCAAATAGTGAAGAGATGCTGTTGAGTGGACCATGCAGTGAGCTTTTTCAGGCTCCAAGCTGCCACCTGTTGAAGTGATTAGGACTGGAGTTTGGGTGGAAGAACATCACTGTGACAATCACCTAATCTGAGTGGAAGCCCATCTCCTCTACATACCCAGCTTAGGAATGTGGTTGCTCAGCTCCATGCTGTGACTCAGCTCGGAAGACACAGAGGAGAATGATTAACTCACTTGAAAATTTGAAAGCTTTCTTTCCAGTGATTAAGCCACAGCAAGACTGACTGAGCCAGACTAAAGATTTGGACTTGAAAGAAGCACAGTGTAGCATTTTTCCAAGAAGAGAGAACCGATGGCTTCAATACACGAATCCTGCAGCTCTGGAGCAAGTGTATGACAGCTTCATCTTCACAGGTGACTGTGTCGAAATGCGCCTGCGCACAGGAGCTTGGTGTGACTTCTGTGGCTCTAAGGAAGATATGAATTCTGACAGGCAAAGTCCTGACTTCAGTTCTCAGATTCACACTGATTGAGTATAAACCTTAGACCAGGCGTTGTGACTCATATTTTCCATAGATGAGAATTCTGTCAGGAGTGCATCACAAACTGTATAATCATTTTTATAAGTTAATTTAAAACCTCTGAGAAATTCACCTTCAAAGAATATTAAAGATTTTTAAAAGGCACTAAACAGAACCAGTCCAAGCAGCCAATGGCATTGTCTTTGCATGCTACTGAAGAGGGTTTTCATATAGTAAATTCTTGAATTTCCCTATAAAGATGGCCATCATTCAATAAAGTATTATTATAGTTTTTATGTTGAATTTTCTGTCCTCAAACTGTATTCATTATCAAGGGGAAAACAATGCTATCCTGATCTATGCAACATATAATTTCAGGGATATTTATAGTACCAGGGATAGAACTCAAGACCTTGCGCTTGCAAGGCAGGGACTTATCTACTGAGCTATATTACCAGCCCCTTTTATATTATTAAAACAGACTTCTTCATTCTTTGGAAGACAGCTACACAGTAGCAGCCAACCACTCAGTGTTTATGGAGAATACATCATGTTCTAAATGTGATACTTGTGAAGGGGAATCAAAACTAGCAGCGCTCCAGACAGTACTGCATACTTACAAAGCCTATTGAAACTCAGAGCTCAGATTCAAAATCCTTGAGTCCAGTCCTTTAGAACTAGATTTCCTTCTGCACCACCTTGGCTGTGACCTCTAGCTTGCTTATCTCCATGACAGAGACCCCACTACCTTCCTGACCAGTGGCCCCTTCCAATTTTTGACATCATTTTGTTGCTAGACGAGATAGATTTCCATGCACTATTAGTCACCATATAGGAATAAATCAAAATAGAGTAATATGCTGAATCATTTGAAAAAAATAGGCTCTGTCTGAGATCACAGGAAGGAGTGATCACTGCTGCTATTGTCAAAATGATGTTGATTTAAGGATAAATAAGCAATGTCTTTTAATTCATCTGAAAGTTTAAGGGTTCATCTTTATTATTATGGATGTTATATACAAATACCAATAATAGTTAAGGTTTTATTCTTATTGACAACTCAATATTGTATATATTTATTAAATATAACATGTTTTGATATACATATGTTTGCACACGTAACATATGTTTGCATATGTTATAGAATATGTTAGGTGAATGAACTATCCATCATCCTATATAATTACTTTTTGGGTGAGAACTTTTAAAATGTACTTACTGCCCTAGCAATTTTCATGTTTACCATGCATTATTCTTAACTACTATGGTAAGTGTGTGGTACATTTTATCTCTACAACTTCTTCCTCCTAATCAAAAACAACAATTGCAATCAAAAACTGCTTTCATGTCTTCTTCGCCCACAGGCCAAACCAGTGTGTGATTCCATAGCACGAGCTATGATAGCGCCTCTCCTGGAAATTCTCTCACCTACACACTTGCTGAAGCTTACAAGAGCTTAAAATAGGGCTGGCACAGAGCAGACAGGGATGCCTGCTGCTGGTGCCACCTGGGGCCAGCCTGAGGGCCCAAGACCCACCTAGTGGCTCAGGCCTTCCCACAGTGCTGGGAGGGAAAGGTCCTGCACCCCAAGGGATGTCTGTTTATACTCAGAGACAGGAGTACCCTGTCAGTAAGCCAGGGCAGTGCCTACAAGCTAGTCCTCATAACCAAGTTCATGGTAAACAGTCATTTACTGACTTCCTGTCATTCAGGCCCCTGTGTGCCTGAGCTGCTTCCTGATGGGCCAAAACCTCTGGTGTGGCTGAGCAAGTAAAGGGTACAGTGACCAGAAGGAGGAGGGCATTTTCTTCTGCGCGTTGCAGGGAATTGATCATGGTTCCAATCTCTCCTAATCTTGATCTATGTGTGAACCCAGGACCTCCACACTGAGCTACATCCTAGCCCACTTTTATCTTTCAATTTTGAAATGGAGTCTCACTGAGTCACTAAACTGCCCAGGCTGGGCCTGATCTTTAGATTCTCTGCCTCAGCCTCCTGGGACCATAAGCGTACACCACCATGTCTGGCTAATATATTTTTACAATTACTGTCCAGTTTACTTTTGTCAATCATTTTACCCTTGTAAACTGCTGAGTTTTCATTTTCCTCATGGTTTCTTTTTATCATTCATTGGGGAAGATGAAAATTAAGAAATGCCAAATAAAGGGAAGAACTCCCCATAACTTTCTGCCTTTTTACAGCCCTAGAAATATTATCAATTATTAAATCTTATTTTCCCCAATTAGAAGAGCAAATTTTGCAAGGCTCAGAAAGGTTAAGTGACTTGCTGAGGTTTCAGGGGTAACAAATGGTAGAAATAAAATTTTTAAAGAATATGTTTTTCTCTTATATCCACTACAGCCCCTAAAGTGTTTGTCAGCTAGTCTCAACTCCAGATTTTTTTTCCCCACTCCATTCACTTGGCTGATAAGAACTCTTAATTACATGAGTCATGTTTCTTTTTTCTTTGTGGTACCAGGGATCAAACTTGGAACCTTGAGCTTGCCAGGCAGGCACTGAGCTGCCTCCTAGGTCCCATAAGCCGTATTTCATTAGAAGTAACTTCCAAAAAGTGCTATAGTGTCAGCTGAAATTTGAATATTACTAAGCTTTTTTTTTTTTTTTTGGAACTGGGGATTGAACTCAGGCCCTTGCACTTGCCAGGGAAGCGCTTACTCTACTGAGCCATCTCCCTGGCCCCATACCAAGCTATTAAGCTAGTATGTGAAGATGTTTTGCTGTAAGGAGGTTTGGGATGTAATGTTTTCTTATTTGATTTTTGGCAACAAGAGCAACAGCTATATTTCTGGGACTGAAACGTACTAAGTAAACTGGGGTCAGTTTGATGGCTCTAGATGTGTATAACATTCAGTGAGGACCAAGGAAAAGAGGAAAACCTCCGACCTTGGGCTTTCTTGCAGGCATTCTGCAAAAGCTCCCCGATCTTGGAGCATCTGGATGTCTCCTACTGTCCCCAGCTGTCCGAGGAGATCATTAAAGCGCTGGCCATTTACTGCAGGGGCCTCACTTCTCTCAGCATCGCAGGCTGTCCTCAGGTAGGTTCGGAGGAGCCCAGCTCACCCCTGCCAGAGGTGGCAGGCAAAGCCAGATGCGCCACAGAACTCATTTTCTTGACCATGTCTGAGAAATTCATTAGATTTCTTTCCTATCCCCAAACTAGAAACAGCTTTAGGATTTCATTTGTGTCAAAGTAGCGTTTTCACAAGGTTAAAAACATAATTTTCATACACATGTAAGTATTTGTCAAAATTTTACTTATTCATTAATAAATGAACCAACAAAACAATAAAGCCAAAGCCTACGGCGTTGGGATGAACTTGGTATTTCTAGGAATTGAAGAAAGAATGTTGGCTGTTAGAATATGATTGCTGGCTAGATCTAAATTTGGTGAATGCAATTGCAATCTTGGGATTCTTATTCTATCTGAAAGAAATAGTCTGCATCTCTCCTGCACACAAGCGCACAATGCTAACATATCACTTCACCAAGTCTGGGAGTCTGGGCCTTAATCAGTAGAAAATAGTATGCCACCCCAAGGCAGAATTCCCTCTAGGTTTTCTCAGGTAGTTCTTGAAAACAATGTTCTGGAATATTTAGAGGTCATACCACCATCTTTTGTGTAATTTTAGAGCATTTGATCATTCTTCTTTTTGTTTTCGTTGCTACTAGTGAACTTATATTTGTTATTTTTATTTTTTATTACTGCATGTTTGAAGTGCATAATGATTACATCCTTTGTGGGGAGTTGGTCCATGCATGTAGCGCACTGTCATTCACTTTTTATCCCCTTCCCTTTCCTTCTCTATACCTCCCTCCATCTCCTGTTCTTTTTTGTTGTTGTTGTTAAAAAGAGCTACAACGATTTTTCTGTTCTGCTCTTTCTTTATATTTTGGGTTTTACTTGTAATAGAAACCATGCAATATTTAAGCTTCTGTGTGTGATTTACTTCACTTAACTTTATGGTCTCAAAGTACATGCATTTTTCTACAAATAACTCAAGTTTATTCTCTTCATGGAAGAGTAGTATTCTATTGTATAAATAAACTGAGAAATAAATTAGGAAAATAATGCCACTAGGAATTGATCTAATCAAGAGATTAAAGACCTGTGTGATGAAAATGACATCACTGGGCTGGAGAGATAGCTCAGTGGTCTAAGTGCCTGCCTGGCAAACACAAGGACCTGAGTTTGATCCCTGGTACTGCATGCTGTGCCAGCCCTGAGACCCCAGGCAGGCAGTGCCAGGACTAAAATAAGGTGTGGTGGCACACACCTGTAATCCCAGTGCTGGAGAGGCTGAGATAGGAGGATCACTATGAGTCTAAACTGCATGGTGAGACTTTGTGCCAAATATATAGATTAAATTAAAAAAGAAAAAAATGACATCATTTAGAAAAAGGAAAATAAAGACATTAGGAAATGCAAAGATATTCCATGTTCCTAGATAGGTAAAACCAATCTTGTCCAAATAGCCATATTTCCAAAACTGATACAGATTTAATGCAATCCCAATAAAAATGCAACATATTTCTTGTACAACTAGAGAAAAAATTTTAAAATTCAAAAAAAAATCTAAAATTCATGCGGAACCAGAAGAGACCCAGAATAGCAACAGCAATCCTGATTTATCTTGTCTTCTATGTATAGAGAAAATACTTGTAAAAATTTTGATTACATATAAAAGATTAAAGTAAAAAGTAAAAACCCATTGTAATAGTACCACCCAAATGTAACTATTCTTCTAGGATTTTTTTCTATGTACAAAAAGGTTAGAAATGTTTACAGGTTTGCCTTTTTGTCTTTGTCTTAGTTACTCTTCTCTTATTGCTGGGACAAATACCTGACACCCAAAATGAAGGAAGGAAAGGTTTATTTAGCTCACAGTTACTGGAGGTTCCAGGCCATATTCAGCGGGCTCCAGGGCAGAGCAGCACATGACAGAGGGCAGCACTTCACAGCAGCGGCAAAGAGCAGAGAGCAAAATGGAGGAGAAGCAGCAACAATGGCTGCCGAGGAGGCTACAGAGAGGGAATCTGCCTCCCTGTCTCTCTTATGTTGCACTCAGGCACGTGCCCCAGGCTGGGTGTAGTACTCACACCCATAATCCCAGCAGCACTCACAGCCATAATCCCAGTGGATCATGAATTAATCACAAGCCCTAGAAGACTGCCCCATGATGCTTTGGGGGGACACCTAGACACAAACCATAACAGCCTTATAAAAAGAAAAGACTAGGATCATACTTTCTAATATAAATTGTATCTTACTTTATTTTCCTTTGACATAATATGGATCTATCTCCACACCAAGAAGTAGATTTTGGGTTCTAGACTAATACAGCCAATTGACTCTATTTTTTTTTATGAGAATATATTTATTGAGGGAGAGAAAGCTCCTGTCCAAGAGAGGGACGGGGGGTGGGGGCGAGCGGGTGGTTCCTGTCCAATTGACTCTACACATATAATTTTGTTCCTTTGAACCCTATCAAAATTGCATATAAGAGTGAGGACCTATGCAGACCAGAAAAACAGGATAAGAAAAGAGAACTACCAACCTTTTTGAAGCTTAAAAGTAGTTGGTAAAATTTAGCAGACTGGAGATGGCTTTAAATCCTAAGCTGTTGAGAAAGCTGAACAAAATATCTGCTCCTTACAACCATCTCTACACTGGGTAGCACCTTGGAATCCCTGGAACTGGGCTAGGTAGGAGCTAAAGGAGGGAGGGCTGAGTTAAAAGTTATTGAGGAGCACAAGAACCCTCAGGCACCATGATTAATTGTGAGTGCAGCCCAGAAGCAAAAGGGGGAACATAGTGATTGGGCTCTAGGTGCAGGTGCTCAGGGGCTAGAACTTGGCAGCCAGATCTTTCCCTGTAAGAGGAGATTAGAAAAAAGCCTCTTCTCTGGAGGTGCCGGCTGAAGATGAAAGCCCTGCCAAGAGGACTTCCCACAGACCCCTGTCCCAGACCATCCCTTGCTGAAGTGTGCAGCAGAAAAGCTTCCAGCAGTTTCTAGCCCATTATTAGTCATGCACAGATAATCTGGGATTACCACACCAAGAAGAAAAATCACAACATACCAACAGGAAAAAATCTTAAATTTTGACAAAATATTCAGAAAAATGAAAAATTTATAATCTTAAAAAGAAAAAACTAAACCAGGAAGTGCTCCATTGTTAACGATCTTGTTCTCTTCTGTTGCACACCCAACCAGGCTGTTGTTCATATAGTGTCAGTCGAACGCAAGGCTCCCTGCAGCCCAGGCAGGCTGCGCGCCGAGTCCTGTGTTGTTCCTATGGTGAGCACATTCAGAGTGTGAGGCTGGCAGCTCCTGCACCCTCACAGCCACTTCTGAACTCCCCCTCCAAATTGGAGGCAGTCCAGGAAAGATGTGGTGAGCCAGCACGTTTGCAGCAAAGTTCTTCAGTAATACACTGTGTAGAACTAGGGATGCCAGATGCACCACCAGGACCATCTGGTTCTAGAAGAGAGCTGGGTTCACCCTCAGAATCCTCATGTAAGGCTACACAATGGCTTTATCTTCTGAATTGTTCTAGTTAAATTGTGGATAAAATTAATGCTAGGATTTTCAGTGGCAGCAGTGGTGGTGCAGTAGAGAAGCAGAAATAAGGGGGAGAGGAAGCCTTTATAAAGTCTGAAGACAAGGAGAGGAGTGAAGACAGGGAGATGGGACAGTCCTCTGATCTGTGACAGGGAGGATGAGATTTTATGGACTCTTGCTAGGGGCAGAGTTTGAGGGGCAGGTTCAGTGACACACAAGGAGCTGATTGGAGGCTCCCTTGTATGCGCCTGAGAGGTAAAAGGAAGTTGTATCCAGCATTGGAATGGGAAAGTAGGAAGTAGTTATTGAAAAGATAAGTTTTAATTGGAGATTCAGCCATGTCGAATCAGGGCCATGATAATTTAGTAATTTGTACTTGGGCGGGAACCTATCATTCCCATCTTTTAGTTGCTATGAAGGGGCAATGAATCTCTTAGACTGCTTCCAGATGAAAGGGGGCATCATCTTGGGAGTGAGGAGGTTGCTAGGATGATGATTCATGCCGATAGAGAAGCTAGTGTCAGGTATTTCAGCCAAGAGGAGAGGTTTATTGTTAGTGAAGGCTTGCATTCAAGACTGAAGAAATCTGGTGTGGCACCTGAAAGTCATCCTAGGATTTTTGAACCCTTAGTTAGGTGGAGACATATAGGTAACAGTGTTATGGGTCACTCAGGATAGGAACCAGATCAGCCAGATTGGAATTTGGAAAGCCATTTATTACTGAGCTCAGGGCCCCTGATCAGCTCTCACACAGGAGAGGACCGGAAGGCAGCTAGCCCAGGAAGCAGGGGTGATTTAAAACATGGAACCACATTCTGTTTGGTAAACAAAATCATTGACACAAAACAATGCTTTCAGGGTCATTGTGACCACTACCCAAACTAAGTTTCCTGGGGCTTTGTTTTAGCTTCTGGTTATCTTGCACCTGAGTACCTGCAGGCAACCTTGCATAGCCTGAGGTTACAAGAAGTTAAATCCCATTTAGTTTTCTCATGAAGTCATCTCTGTAATCTAACTTTGTTTACAGGGATTGGTTAGGTAGGAATTTTATCTAGCAAACAGCAAGCAAGAGCCACTATTTACTAAACAATTTAGAACAGTGGTAAGTATACATTTTTACACAACAGAGAACACAAGATTTACACTTATAGTCTAAAATGTGAGTTGACCCATTACAACAGGAGTTGTGAATACCACTCAGGTGACAAGGACCCAGGATTAGGAAAAGCCATATTGTTGGGTGGAGTGGAGTTGCCTGGGTACCATTGGGCTCAGGTGATGTGGAACCAGGAAGGAGGTGGGTGACTTTTATCACTGTTGCTGTTGAAGTGTCATCCAGGTGGGGACCTGTCCATCTAATCCTATATTTGAGATAGGTTAAATCTCCAGGAAACGCAGATGGTGCCAATTGAGTGGTATCTATTGGTTGTGGGAAGCAGGTGTCTGCATGTTGTCACAGCAGGTACCTGAGGAGG